TATGTGAATCTTCATCTCGGATCAACTGATGAAAATAAGCAAAGTAGGGGCATTACTACAATGTACCAATAGACTAATGTTTACTACTGGATGCAATGTTGTAACGTCTCAAAATGCCTTTGTGCCTGAATACTTTAAAGAGGGTGTACTTTAATTCAGCTGCAAAGTTTTCCATATACCAAATAGTATGCTTTTGTATCATTTGAAATAATAAGAGTGTCAGCGTCATAGCTGAAGCATCGATTGAATAAGGTAGTTGATGATTAACAAAAGCATCAATTAAATAAATGCAGTCCTTAATTAGCTGAAGAATCCATTGAATAATACAGTGTTGTCGGTTATCAAAAAAAGTTACATAGAAAAAGTAGGGGGAAAAAACAATCTGATATAGCACACAGACACAATATTCAAAATCAACTAGACAAAGACAAAATCTAATCATCCCGGGGTAGCAATCAAAATCTAATTCCACAGCCCTCGTGCCCAAAACGCGGCACCCAGGCACCAAAGGTGATTTAAATAATTACTGTATTTAAGAAAGTTAGCCCCTGAGCAACTCATTCCAAGTAAGACTCATCTTGGAGTTTAGCAGAGCATTAACTTTGACAAAGATACCAGACTGTAAACACTATCGTTAGTTCTATTCATGAAGCAATACACAGATTTAAGCAAATACTCACAAAATGAAGGAACAGAGTTACTAAGTGGCACTACAGTGTCTAGGTAGTTTAGTACTAAATGCAGTTTAAAGAACCATACATAAAATTTGCATGATAACGAAATGATTTTTGTCAGAACAATTACTAAATTTTCTTGACATGGAATTCCCTCTTATACAAAGTGATCTGCACTGACGCTTAATATCAAGCTCATCATTTAGCGTAAAATGATCTCTGCGATCAAATGCCATGCTAGCATCTGAAAAACATGTACACTAGGCTGCAATTTCGCATATAATAATCAACAATTTGTTGAAAGACAAAAATACATATGTATCAGTGGAGTTACCTGATTCTATAGCAAACTGTTGATCACCAGAGGAAAGTTGCCTGATACTGTACTTCTATAAACAAGTTTAAATATCTGAGATACAACAGCGGCTAAAGCAATAGGACAATAATTACATTGTAAGTGATATCTTTAACTTAATTAAAAGTACAAGAACCTTATGTCATTTCGGGAGTAAAATGACTATGCCATAGCATTAAGCTAAAAGCATAAACTAAAAAGTGTGAACCCTCGCACTAAAAATTTGAAGGTGCTCAGTGTAGACATTGTCAAAGCTTGTTGATTTACCTAGTGATTAATGTAATTCTTTACAGTTTCATGATAGGACAACATATTACAAATTATTTCTTTCAACGACCTTGGAACGTTTAAGAGTGCCACCGTCCCAGAACTTTAGGTAATTGTCATTAGCCAAAGATTTAGCCATAGAGTCACAACACAACAGAGTTCTTTATCATGTTTACATTGTCTAAAGGCCATTTTAAACTGAGACCTAGATATTAGCATTGAATCATAAAGAGGCCCATATCGGGCATGCATTAATCCATTGAATAATGCAGTTGATGGTTAATACAGCAGTTGCTTGATGTAACATGTGGGTG